GTTCTCGAACCGTTCCGTGTATTTCCACTGTAGAAAAGGTTGTTCCGGGCCGAAACTGACTTCTTTCATATTTGTCGACCAATATGCAGAAAACTACGTCAGTATATCATCATAAACACAGCCGTTTTTGTCTTCCGTGAACGTAAACAAATGAGAAAGAAAACACACATGTACAGTATTTTTAGATCTGCGTGCGTTCGTTGTTAAAGAGACAGCAGCCTAATAAACCCGCTGCCTGTCATTAATGTTAATCAAAGAACAAAATAAATTAATTCACTGACCTTGACTGAATATATTTAATAACTTGAATTGATTAATCTATATTTTACTTATGAAAAGAAAACTATGCAGTGTTTTTAAACTTTTAATTACAGTTTCTGTACCTGAAATTTTGTTCAGTTGTATTTATTTATGATATTGCTAATTGATTTGTTTGTTCCTATCTTATTACTGACTGTTAACTTGTCTTTAACACTTTAATATTTGAAATGTATATTAATCTGGTTGTTTTTGCTGTGGTATTATTTTTTAAAGCATAGGCAAAATTCCTCTCGCAGTGTTCTGTAGGCTGCTGATTTTTGCTTGTGTTATTCAGCTGCAACAGAATGCTTTGTAAAAAGCCAGAATAAATGTTTGACATCTAAATGTTTGACCTCATTTGCTTTGGCACACCGCCTGATCTATTATAGCTAACTATCAAAATCTGTGTGGCAAAGCTGCGCAACACACTGCAGCACGGGGAGCATGTATTGTAGTGAAGCACAGACCACTATCAATTTATGTGAACATTCATAACACAGTCATAACTTTTGTGTTAGACAATATGCTGCGTTTTAGACAAAGGAGGAACTTAAATAATATGACAGATATGAAAATAAATGACTTTGTGTAATTTACCTTCACAGCACATCTATTTTTTTGTTGTTTTTTGAGTATTATTCATAGAGCACTTTCTAGAAATTTAGGAAATCATATGTTGTTATCCCACTGGCATGGGACTGATTGGGACTGTGATTCTTTATACAAATTTAGGAAATCATATGTTGTTATCCCACTGGCATGGAACTATTTGTTGTTCAGAGTGCTTGTTTCAGTGATTGAATTTAGTGAAATGTGAATTTGACGTCATGATTTGAAGGTGAACTCGTTTGAGTTATAAGAACATATCCAAACCCTCAAATAACACTTCGAACAATAAGCCAGTGTCATCAGTGTTAGAAATTAACTTTCCCATAAGGGGCAACTGATTTTAATTAATTAATTCATTTATTATTATTATTAATTGTTTTTTACCTTTTACCTTTTGTATGTCATCTTTAATGTTAAATTCTTACATCAAATAAATTAGAATAATATGACAATAGGCTGTTACCAATTAAATCAGTATTCAGTGATATAGAACCTGCGTCTGAAGATGCTTTTAGATGTATTTACAGTTTAATGCTGATCAGACGGCTGTACGTGCATTTACACAGCAATTACAAATGTATAATGAAATGAGATTAATGTTTTATACAACATTTTTAATACAGAAATATGAATAAAATGAAATGATACTTGAATTATGAAAGTAATATCGCCACTAGGTGGCGGTAAGTCATTGTGTTAATAAAGGAGCCTTTTATTCAATCAATTCGTTCAAAATGCTTCATTCATTCATTTAGGAATAAAATCAAGCGGCTGTCTATAATAATTGGTAATTGCATTGTTGTCTATAATAATGGGTTTTTCAAAGATTCTGATTCATTCAGGAATGATACACCACTCTATGCGCCTGCTGCGAGTCAGTCACACAACGGTTCTGTGACTTTGGTTTAGTTGGCAGAGAAAATAACAATTTTGTATGCCATCAGTTAGCTGGCCAATACTCAATATTAATTAAATAAACTCAGTTTATTGTCTAAAACGACCTGTTCACATAAATGAATAGTGGTCTGCCCTTGTCTACAATACACTCTTCCCACGCTGCAGTGCATCGCGCAGCTTTGCCACACAGATTTAGAAAGGGGCGTTTAATTCCCGCCCACATGTAGAAATCAAATATTGAAGCTGTTTATTAATTTTTCCACCCATGAACGAAAAACGAAAATTTAAGTTGAATTTGAATTTTTTGTTTTTTGGAAAAAAAACTAAAAAACGAAAAGGAGCCGTTTTCTCGTTTTTCTACTTTCAATATTAAATCAAAAAACGAATGATCGAATGACTGACAACCGGAGAACAACAGATATTAAATACCCTACTGTTAGAGTTTTATAATGTAGTCTTGTGTTTTATTAAAATTGATTATAATTGATATCTCAAAAGGATATGCACTTG